GATGAACTGGGATCTCCCTGAAATGCTGAGGCATTAGGTGCCTGCCCACAGAGCCCTGCAGCCGCTGGCTGCAGCTTCCAGTACTGTTCAGTTGTCTGTAAGACTGGGTAGTGAGCTTGCTCTTTCCAGCAGCTGAGCGCGGAGAAGACTTCTTGTGTCCTGCCCAAGGGTACATACAAGCTTTGTGTTTGGGTTGAAACTGTTCAAGAACACCAGTTCTATCAGGTTGGAGTTTCATGTTGGGGATGTGCTAATTCTTTATATTTGTGGCTTTGCTGCTTTTGCTGATGGGGGAGTGCATGTTTGAGGGGTAAGCACCTGCCATGACCACAAGGCACCCATCTGCTACAGGTGCCCATCTCGTTTCATCTTTTCCCCTTTAGGAAAAAAGGTGGCAAGAGTAGCCAACGCACGGTTGGACACGTTCAGCAGAGAAGTTTTCCGTCATGAGAGTCTGAAAAACCTTGTGCGCTTGGCAAGAGTGCGAAACCATTACATCTGTAAGTGCCCCATTTTCCACAGAACGTAGAGCCCTGCTGTGGTTTGTGTAAACAAACAGAGACTGGCCAGCATGTATGACTGGGTCTCTGCCTCCCCCTTACCCCCACATCATCAGCCTTCATACGTTCATATTCCAGTGGGTAACTACCGAGGTTGTGGTTTGGTGTTGCTTTGGGATTGAATGTGTTTGTGCTTCCTGCCAGCAAATGTAACCTCTTCTCCTCTGGCTGTGAAGATCTGGCTTGTCAGAAGTGCGGTGTAAGGGAAGACATGGGACAGAAATGCTGGAGCCAGGTGTAGGCTGAAGCTGCGTAGTGGCTGTGCTGACTTGTGTCTCTGTGCAGTTTCAGTGGAGTCGACGGGTATCTTGCCTCCAGATGTGCTGGTGAGCGAAGCCATCAAGATCCTGATGGGAAAGTGTCAGCGCTTCCTGAATGAGCTGGACTCTGTGCCTATGGAGTGACCGGGCTGTAGCTGGGAAGCGTGTTCCTGCACTGCTGTTCTGGGCTTCCTGCACCTGCCTGCAGGGGTGATGCCTCTTCTGTAGGCAAGAGGTTTGAGATGGGCTTGTTAAGAGTCCTAGGACTGTCTCTTTGGATTTGTCTTCTGTTGGCAATGAGCCTCAGGGAGGAGATGCACTAAAATAAAGGCTTTTCTTTACAGCTGTCTCCTTCTGTGCTGTTCACAATTGCGAGACCATAATACACAGAGAAGAAAGTGGCAGCGGGTCTAAAGATGAGTAATAGCATTTATTTTAGATTGCATGCAGTATATGAAAAGGACTGATAAGGCAGTGTAGTAAAACACTTCGCAGCAGGTCAGTGAGATTTAACAAGTCAGTATCGGTGCAGGTCTGTTTTGCAGGTGTCTCAAACCAGCTCCACGTAGTTAATGATGTGGTAGATAAAAGCCTGTACTGCCAGAGGGCTGTAACACCTCTCTGATGAAGAAAGGCTGACAGAGTTTGGTTTGCTCAGCCTGGAGAAGAGAAGGCTCCAGGGAGACCTTATTGTGGCCTTGCAGTATATAAAGAGGATGTGGAGAAAGCCTTTTTACCAGGGCCTGTAGTGACAAGACAAGGGGCAAGGGTTTTAAACTGAAAGGGGGTAGACTTAGATTGGACATACGCCCTTTTTTAAAGATGAGGGTGGTGGTGAGATGCTGGAACAGGTTGCCCAGGGAAGTTGTGGGTGCACCATCCCTGGAAGTGTTGAAGGTCAGGTTGGACTGGGCTTTGAGCAACCTGACCTAGTGAAAGCTGTCCCTGCCCACACCAGGGGGGTTGGACTAGATGGTCTTTGACCGTCCCTTCCAGCCCAAAACATTCTATGATATAGTACTGGGCTTCTCTGTGCAAAGGTGGGGTTTAAAAACATGCTCTGTAAGGACTGGCACTCCCTTCTTAAATAGCTCAAGGTAAGGCATTTCTTCCCAGGTGTTGGATTTGACTATTCTGTTCTCCCTTTCAGTGGCTGAACGTACTTTGGGCTGACCTTGGAGCAGAACTGGATGGTGGAGGGCAAGTGACAGTCAAAGGCCTGTCTCCACCCAGGGAAGCCTGGGAGAACTTGCAAGTTAGTCTCAGTGGTGAGCACTACTGTTAGTCAGCAGCGGGTAGGTCTCTTGACGAGCTGATGAAAAGCAATCCAGGGACTGGAATGGCTGGGAGGACTGGTCTGTCCCAGTTGCTTGTCAATCCTCACTACAATGACAGAATTTAGTGTAGCAAATCGCACTTTTTCTCTACCTGTTGCACTGGGCTATAGTTACTTGTACTGTAAACATCCTTTAGGTGTTAATCCCATTTGAAAAATAGGATTTTCAAGCTGAAGCAGCTTCCGCAATGAGCTGGATTACAGCTGGGACCTTGGGAAAAGGTTTTGTGACAAAAACTTCTTACAGTGACGCTGCTCAGGCCCACGTCTTTGAAGGCTTCTGCTTTTGTTGTAAGAGAGACCTTTCGTGCAACCTTCATCAGGTGAGGGGGACACACCAAAGGCAATAGCTACATCACCTTCCTGTGTTACTGAAAAGGTCAGCTGAGAGTTACGGCTAAACTACAGTACTACCACAAGATGTTGCTCCTCCCAGCAATAGCTAGGGTTGGGCTTGGAGCCTACTTCAGTAGCACATGCGCCTTTCTCTGCTATTGCTTTGCCTATTTCCCATATTGCTTATGGGACGTGCCCTGGAATAGCCATGCCAAAGGGTTTCGCTTTGGCAATACGTACCCCTCAAGCTGTGAACTGGGACCTAGCGGCTGTTGTGGAATTAATATAAACCAGCTGTGACGTATGAATACTTTAAAATATAATTTTCCCCTTGCCTTCTAATTTAATTACGTAGTCTGGATTGGTTCATCCCCTCCCTGATAATGTATGTTGACCACCAGCAAAGGTGCTCCCGTTTTGGTAGCTGGGATAAGGAGTGCTGAACAGTCCTTAGGAAGGCGGTCTGGGTAGAGCAGAGGCTTCAGATATTACTGAAACATACGAAAGAATAAAAATGAAACCATGACACGACGTGTATGAAACTGGAATAGCTTTACTGACACTCAGAGGTGTAACACAACCAGTTCAGAGACAGCTTCGGATTTAAACATTCCTACAAAAAAGGTTCTAAAAACCATTTAAAAAAAAACCCTTGTATCTAGCATGAAGTCACAGAATGTTAAAAATATCACAACACAATAAATACACCCAGCCTTTGCTAGAGCCAGGAGCCATGTTAGCTCAGAGGTTAAAAAAATCTGAGGCCAGGATGAAAGTGTAGGGTGCTGGTGGAACAGCAGGGGCAGGAGGGTGAGTGGAGTCCCAAGGCCTGCTCTTCCCTTCAGCACTCCCACCCCTCCCAACCCCACCTTTTCTGTCCAGTCTGTCCAAGTGGAGACACCACCTTCTCTGCCCGCCATAGTTTATTACTTGTTCTGTCTCCTGGATGGCAAAACTGCCAGCTAGCTCTGGACAGACCCAGCTCCTGCGCTAACACTAGGATAGATCGAGTGAACCATTTGTCATGTAAGAAGAACCAGCTTTGCAGACTGGAGTGGTTTGATAAGAGTCCCACCTCATCTAAAACCCAGTTTCTGACCTGGCTCCCCCCCTGTAAACTGCAGTATAAACCCCACCCCTCCTGCCCCACCACGCAATTCTCCAAGAAGTACCAGACTGGGTAAAAACATGGGCTACCGTCACCTCCACAGCAACAGGGTGAGGAGATCCCTTTTGGTTTGCAGGTGCTTCAGATATTGGTCCAGATTTTGTATACCCTGCACCGACGATGTTCTAGTCTACAGGGCATGGTAAAAAGAAAAAAACAAACAAATCTGTCCTGCTCCCCCTGAGAAATGTCCAAGAAAGGCTGGCACAAAGTAAAAGCCTTCCGTTTGGCTCTGGGTAGAACAAGCTGTATGATCATATATATGTATATATATGTATGACAGCGTCTGCCTCCTAGAGAGCAGCTGCACCTTAGAAAGGCTGATCTTGAAGGAGATCCTAGAGCACTGCTAGGCTTCCTGGCACACAGCCCGCAGCCCAAGGCTCAGCATCCTGGAGGGAAACGGATTCATCAGAATACCAGTCCGCTAGGGACAAGTGCTGATAGGCACGACAGGAGTGTCTGATGTGTCCCCTAAAAAAGCCTGGCGACTAGCACCCAGAGAAAGATTAGGGTAGCCCCTTTTCACATGGCGCACTACTCTGCCTTTTGCATTGATCCTAAACCCCAAGGGATGAAGAAGTGGAGCAAGAGTGACCCAAGGCTACAGGATGACCAGGCTTTACCTAACGGAGTTTATGGGCTCAGCTCCCACCTTGCAGAGAAGCAGAGGTCTAAAGATGCTCATCCAATGGAGGGGAGGGGAAGGAATCGGGGAAAGCTTAATAGACTGGTTCAAATGCCACCGCAGGCCCCATCCCCACGTAGGGAGAATGGGACAGGACCCGTAAGGGGCTTTATTCAGACGAACGCTCGTGGAGGCGATGACGAGGAGAATCTAATGTGCTTACTATGAGGAGAGACAAAATATAAGGTAGGGGAGGAGATGGTTGCAGCATCCCAGGCTCAGGGCTCAAAGAGTGCAGTGAGGCCCTCTCCATCCTCGTTTTCCAGCACATCCGTCTCCAATGATGGCTTCACCTTTTTGAAGAGAGATGGGAGGTTCCGGATATGAACCTCCTTGCGGAACTGCTCCCCGAGGGGCTTCTGCAGAGGACAGACAGGCAGGCATCAGTCATTACTGCCTTCGTAGCCCCACTCAACTCAGGGGGCAGCCTGCTTGCAGATCAGAGGCAGACCCCAGATTCTGAGCAATCCCTAGGCCCGGACGCCATGCTTGCATTTTGGGGAATCTCGGGCCTGGTCCTTCCCAAGTGCCAGGGCACCGAGGTAACCACCAGTGCACCAGCTCCCCAAGCTTTTAACTCAATGTACCAGACTCAACGCCACCATTCTCACAAAAGCCCAGCACCCACCTAGCGGCTTCGTTCAAACATTTGAACACCCTGTTCCCCCCGGCACCCTTGTGCAAGGTAACCCCTGCCTCTCAGTGCTGGAGGGGCTGCTCAGTCTGTGCTGCCATCCCCGCTGTACCTCCAGGTTGAAAAGACAGAACAAACACTAAGAATAAGCTGCAACAGCTTCCTGGCTGGGAACTGGGGTGCCTGGGGAGAGGCAGGTAGACTGGCTGCCCTGTCGCTTCTGCAGGGTACGGGCGTGAAATGAAACAGGTTCATTTTCCTCCAGGATATCACCTACCCCAATGCAACCTGTGATGAGGCGCTTGAAATGATCCTTCCGGCGCTTGTCTGCCACCTTCTGCAGCGTTGGGTTGAGAAGCTTTGAATCAAACTGCTCCAAAGAGTCCCTCTGGATGTCTGGGATCTGCTCCATCACTGCCTTCAGCTCAGCATAGCGAGGGCGCTGCAGGGAGAAGTACAGTTAACACAGCTCTGCTAGAGGAGCAGCCTTGTCCTCCTTGGAGGGCCATTAGCTCCTCTGCCCCTACCCAAGCGGGCATGGGATTAGTTTTCCACCACTCCCCAGCCAACCTGGCATCTGGACAAAGAGCAGAGTTTCTCACCAAGGCCTCGTAGATCTGGAAAGCCAGGTGGACAAGAGCTGCCATGCAGCCATCGTGCTGCCCGTGTGTCTGTAAGCCCTTCAGCACACTTGTGAAGAACCAGGACACAGCATCGGGCAGGAGGTTTCCTGGAAGCACCTGGGGAAGAGGCACTGTCAGCATGGAAGCAGGATACTGATACATGACTGCCTTTTTGCAACAGCTTGGCCTTCCCGAGGGAGAAGGTGCCCAGGGGTGAAGCAGCCACGCTTCTTACTACATTCAGAGCTTCCTCTCCCAACCCTGCCAGAACTAATTCCTTCTTCCTCCCAGAGGTACCTGTTTGAGCAGCGGCCAGCAAAGCTGTGTTGTGGTTCTTTGGCAGGACAAGGTGTCCTTCCAGGAGAGGGATGTGTAGGCAGTGATCAGCAGCGCAGTGCAAACATCCTGAAAAGGAGTCAGAGAGGGAAACCAGTCAGAGGAACGATTTCCCACCTCCAGGGTTCAAACCTGAAGGGAGCCAAGAAGCAATCCAGGGACTCTGCAGGAGCTCCAGACAAGCGTCTTCTGAGAATCCTGCGTGCTGCTGCTGCTCCAGCTGACGGTGCTCGAAGGCACGCAGCGTACACCATCATAGCCATGAGAAACAAACGTCAAGCAAACCCGCTCCCTTCTCACCTCCCCTGGAAAAGCCCTGGAGCACCCATGGACTCCCATCAGTTGTTACTCTCAAGTCACTGCAAAAGCTTCTGCAAGAGCTTCTGAGGCGTCCACAGGAGAGGAGGATTACAGAGGTATCAGGGTGAAGGTACTCTGCACAGTGGGTTGTGTTAACACTTTGGCTCCTGTGCCAGCTCTGGCAGATTTTACAGAAAAAAAGAGCTGCTGGGTGAAGTTCTTCCTCCTGAAGGCTGGAGCCCAGGATGGAGGCAGAGCCAGGGAGCACCCTGGGGGATGAATGCCCAGAGCCTTGCCCAAAGAAGGGCTGAAACTCTGTAGCTGCATGTTACACTGGATCCCAACCCCCACTTGCTTTGTGGTTTCTGCAACCATTAACCCTTAAAAAACATGTATGTTCCCAAGAGAAGATTCTCACACTGGGTAATCACACTACAGCAGCCTAGATCTTTGTAGCAGCATCTGGCTGCACCACAGACAAGCGTGACAAAGAGTACAGAGAAAGGATGGTGGAAGTCAGAGCATGCGCTCTTACCTCCTGCTTCATCAGACACTTGCCGAGCTCGGTGAGCTCTGCGCTGGCAGGGGGAGTCACCTCCGTGGCCATCGCCTCATCATCTGCAGAGCAGAGCAAAGGCAGCACTGTGAAAATGGCCTCCCGAGGACTGAGGGAGACACAGGGAGGCACAGTGAGAACTAAGCTGGGAACCAGGGGACAGCACACAGAATCAGTATGCTTGCACAGCTTGCCAGAACATCTCTCTCCAAGCAGAAAGCACGCACCCTCTGTGGGGCAGGAAGGGCACCCGACTAGCTACCTCCAGCTCTTGGGAAGACCGTGCACATCCCCCTCTTCTCCTCAGCCCTCTTCTTGGTACCTTACGAATCAGCTGCTCCAACGTGCTACCTGTGAACCCTACAGCACACTCCTAGGCTAGACTGGGTTTTTCTGTGGGCAGGTTTTTACACTGGGCAGGACAGAGCTGAAGGCTTCTTACCAAACCTGTACCCCTCACACAGAACTTCCAGCAACAGGCCAGCCTCTCCCTCAAGAAATGCATGAAGAAATGGGAAAAGTGCTTGCACGCACCAAGGGGAGGAAAGGCAAAGGTGGGCATTTACTCACCGTCTCCGTCTACAGCAGCAGTAGTGTTATGCTCAACACCTTTCTTAGAAACACAGCAAACAGCTGCAAAAACAGTTGCAGGTCAGAGGAGCAGAAAAGGGAAGATGCTACTTCAGAACATGCAGAGATTATCCTACAGACTCTGATGGGCTCACAGCTGCTTCAGGCTCCCCCAGCTCTTACACAGTATCTGAGGAATCTGAAAGCCCAGTATAAAAGCCAAATACTGCACTACCTGCAAGGCTGAAACACCCCACCCACAGCATCCTCCCACAGTGGAACCTGCTGCACAGTGGCTGCTTCAAACTACTGAGAACCAGGAACATGCAAAAAACATTTGAAGCCTATCATCTGAGAACAGCAGCATCTTAAGGCATCAAGGCAGATCAAGGAGATAAAAGGTCGAGGACCTGTAATCTCTATGCAGTCAATTTTCCCAGCCTCTCTGCTCCAAGCCACACTGACAAAAACAGAGTGTTGGAGAAGGGGAACACAAAGGAGATTGCCTGGGGGGAGGGACTCTTCCCTTCTGTCTGGCTAGAGGCATGGCAATTGCCAGCAGCAAAACTGCTCTACACTCAGGTTGTCCGCAGATCAATGTCCCGTATTGGGCTACGGGGCACCAAAAGGGAAAACCCAGATTCCAAAGGAGAACTGGACTCCTACAGGGACAGTGCCAACAACACGGAGCCCTAAATGAAAGAAAGAAAGCTCTCTTCTGAAGGTTTTTAATTGATCTCTTACTAAGTTTTAGCTAAGATTTTGGTAGGGTTAACTGTCTCACACCTAGCTTCTAAGGATTATGTTAAATACTACTGGCCATTATAATTAAGTTTTACTGCACATTGGAAATTGCTATTGTCTTCTCCAGGGCAAACTTCCCAAATATCCCAGGGGACCTTGCTTGATTTTACTTACTGATGAGATCCATGACTTCTCGGGTCAGCAGCCTGACCAGCTGTTCTTCAAGCATCTCCTGAGACTCGGGGTTGTCGTCTGCAGCATCATCCTCACTGAGGAGAACAGGTTTTAGTGTGAAGGGAGCCGATGTCTTAAAGTATCCCCTCTGCCCAAGCACAGGGAGTGAGTCACCATCAGGGTAAACGCAGTGTTTTTCAGCCCTCTGCTGGCAGGGCTGTTCCCTGGGCAAAGGGCCAAAACTCCATCCCACTTCCCATTTCTCCCTTTCAGTACTCATTTCAAGGGGTGGAAGCTTACCAGAGCATGCTTCGTTGGTTGATCACCTGCCATTTCTGAGACAACCTCTGTTCAAGACAAAAGAGAAGATTCAATACCTTCCTAAGGAGCCATGCTGGACACAATGCAAAGAGGCCCAAGTGACAGCTGCTGATAAAAGCACAAGAGCTTTAAACACAGCTCTCATGCCAAGCCCCATTTTGAATGGGACAAGAACTGCTACCAACTGTGCTGAAGATGCTGTGGCTGTGCTGGCTGTAGGAATCTGGGTGAGCTGTCAGGAAAATGAGGGGACACAGGCAAAAAAAATCCCACACAAGTTCTCAGGGCTGAAGGTTGAGGAGCTGATATCCACAGGTTTGAATTCACAGCAAGGGGTGCTGTGAAACAGCCAGGGTTCAACACATCTCAAAAGCCCCCCCCTAAACAGCATCAAAATCATTAAGCATCAAGGCTCTGCCCTTGTCTCTGCTGGCTTTGGAGACACACATGTTCTCACACGTTGCTGCCAGCTGCTACAAGGAGTCTGGGCTGCCAAAGAACAGGCATCAAACAAGCTGTTTTCTTACCACGTGCAGATAGGTAAAGAGTGGTCCCAGCATGGGGCAGACAAGGGTTTCGTAGTATTCTGAAGGGCAGGAGAGTACCAAGGGCTTCACAAACACACCTGCACAGACCAGTTAAGGAAGAGACCGAGTGCATATGGCCAGCTGCTAGGGTGACTGCAGCACACCACCCAAACCAGACCATTCCACTGGGGGAGCCAAACAACAGACACCTCGAAGCCCATCTTCTCACAGCCCTGAATTAACAAGTGGCATCTCTACACAGCAAGAACATGAGGTATTCAGCCTCTTCCCCTGACAGTTCAGCTGAGAAAGCTGAGGGTGCCTAGCACCCATTTCCTAGCTGTGAGACTGAACGTCCAGCCCTGGAAAGTGGGCTGGGAACCCCAGATGGTCTCCCACACAAGCACAAAGTCTAGTCAGACACCCTACTGCCAAGCTCCTACACTGTTCAAGCCCCCTTGACCCTCCAGAAGGCACTACCCACCTCTCGGGGACCATACAAATCCTTTGCATTTATTCTCTCTGACCCCGTGCACTGCTGTTTCTGCTCATGCCCTCCTAGGCTCGCACCTCAACCACACCAGGTGTATCCCTGTTTGTTTACCTCCTCAATCACCCTTCTTTGGCTTGGCCATACTGAAAACAGTGCTAGGAAGCCACCAGGTTTTCAATTTACATGCTCCAAGCCTCCCTAGCTGGCCTGAAACAATGATGGAAGGATACGGAGCATGGGACGCAGTCTGTAATCAGGAATGTTGTTGAGGTTGATGAAAGCTGAGCTGAGGAGCTGGGTGGCGAGACCCTCAACGGTGTAGAAATCCTGTTGCATGGAGGGGCCTGCATTTCCCAGGATGTGGAAACTTCAAGAAAAAACAAGTTAGTTGCAACTCTGCTAGATAACAAGTACCATGCCTCTGGCCTGCAAGGTCTGCAAGTACTATCATCTGAGATTAGATAGTTGCCGTGTTCTTAATCAAACACTATAGAGGAATTTTAGCATGGTATCTCTTTTTTCTGGGATACCTGCAGAGGGACAATGAATTAAGCATTTAAACACTAAAATGCACTTTCAAGTACTGACATATCCTAACACACAATTAGAAGTGGCAGAGACACAAGCTAGGTCAGGATATCAGATAAGTGCTCCAATCCAACTACCTAACTGCAGAAGAGCTAAAAGCAGATCCACATTTTGAGGTACTTTTTCCAGCAACTGTGTTCCATATGTATGCGGTACGTTACAACCACCGAGTATAGTTCACCACTGCAACTTGTACTTGGATATTATAGGACACAGCTCACATGGAAAGTCTAACTCTAGAAGTCAGCACCCAGCAATAGCCTACTGCTGCAGCTGTGCAATACTGGATTGTGTATGGGATATGTGGTGCTCTTACCAGTTGTCGTAGAGGGTACAAAAGAAGCCCTGCATCCTTTCTAAGACCGTTTTGTAAACAGGAGAGTCATAAAGCTCCAGCAGAGGCTGAGGGAGACCTGTGGGAAAGAATAAGCTTCAGCTACATTAATGAGAGAGCACAGTGTACTTTCAGAACGTGCTGGGCAGGCCCCAGCCAGCCTGATGGCAGTGACAGAAGTGCTTGGCAAGATCAACATGCAGCCAAATGGGAAGAGGTGCAGCAACCCTGGGGCAGAACCTCCCCTCAGAGGTCAGCCAAGTTCAGGTCGGTTGTACCCAGAGCAGAGGTGTTCCCACTAAGGTTGTTATAGCCCCTTCATTTCGCAAAAGCAAAACTTACTGGAGCTATCAGAACCCAGCCAGAAGCAAAGCTGACAGTTGTGCAGCTCCTCTAATAGCCCATCCCTTCAGGTTTGTATTCATCTCTGTCAGGACACAAGCTACTGCTGAACTATGATATTAAAGAGTTTAGAGCAGAGATCAAAGCCCTGCTGCTTTATGTGCAGTCGTTCACAGACAAGAGTTTATAGGTCACAGAAAACAGGTAAAGGAAATTTATCTTCATGTCTCCTCATTTTACAGATAAGAAATGGAGATAAGAAAGACAAAGCAACTTCCCCAAAATATTTCACTGTCTGTCAGAACCTGAAATTAAACCCCAATTTCCAGAGTCATGGCCTACACTTTATCCACAAGGCCACCCACTTCTGCTTGGCTGGAAAGGCTTCTGTGTTCACAAGCTCAAATCTGTTTTAAGACAGTTCCAAAAGCCTCTTTCTAATACACCATCTGGAAACAAATGACAGGGCCATACTGCAGGACTTGGCTCTTGCTCTCCGGGACAGGTCTCTGCACCAGCACTCAGGGATACTGCTGAGCACTAATTCTGCTCAAAGGCAGACAATTACAGCACCCCCAGTCTCTCCAGCCTGAAATGCCATGTTGCAGAGACCACCACCCAGCTGGGATAAGCAGTTTGGTAGGGTACCCTTCATTTCAGGCAGAGGAAACCAATTTGTCTGAGACCAATAACTTATTTAACTTCTTCATTTCAGCAGGTTCAAATCATAGCTGAGCTGTGAATACTATGAAGCTGGCTCTCCAGCCCCTCTTCACTTCCACCGCTATTGATGGACAATTGCCTCCAATAACAGGAGAGTCATAAAGCTCCAGCAGAGGCTGAGGGAGACCTGTGGGAAAGAATAAGCTTCAGCTACATTAATGAGAGAGCACAGTGTACTTTCAGAACGTGCTGGGCAGGCCCCAGCCAGCCTGATGGCAGTGACAGAAGTGCTTGGCAAGATCAACATGCAGCCAAATGGGAAGAGGTGCAGCAACCCTGGGGCAGAACCTCCCCTCAGAGGTCAGCCAAGTTCAGGTCGATTGTACCCAGAGCAGAAGTGTTCCCACTAAGGTTGTTATAGCCCCTTCATTTCGCAAAAGCAAAACTTACTGGAGCTATCAGAACCCAGCCAGAAGCAAAGCTGACAGTTGTGCAGCTCCTCTAATAGCCCATCCCTTCAGGTTTGTATTCATCTCTGTCAGGACACAAGCTACTGCTGAACTATGATATTAAAAAGTTTAGAGCAGAGATCAAAGCCCTGCTGCTTTATGTGCAGTCGTTCACAGACAAGAGTTTATAGGTCACAGAAAACAGGTAAAGGAAGCATCTCCTCATTTTACAGATAAGAAATGGAGATAAGAAAGACAAAGCAACTTCCCCAAAATATTTCACTGTCTGTCAGAACCTGAAATTAAACCCCAATTTCCAGAGTCATGGCCTACACTTTATCCACAAGGCCACCCACTTCTGCTTGGCTGGAAAGGCTTCTGTGTTCACAAGCTCAAATCTGTTTTAAGACAGTTCCAAAAGCCTCTTTCTAATACACCATCTGGAAACAAATGACAGGGCCATACTGCAGGACTTGGCTCTTGCTCTCCGGGACAGGTCTCTGCACCAGCACTCAGGGATACTGCTGAGCACTAATTCTGCTCAAAGGCAGACAATTACAGCACCCCCAGTTTCTCCAGCCTGAAATGCCATGTTGCAGAGACCACCACCCAGCTGGGATAAGCAGTTTGGTAGGGTACCCTTCATTTCAGGCAGAGGAAACCAATTTGTCTGAGACCAATAACTTAACTTCTTCATTTCAGCAGGTTCAAATCATAGCTGAGCTGTGAATACTATGAAGCTGCTCTCCAGCCCCTCTTCACTTCCACCGCTATTGATGGACAATTGCCTCCAATGCCTCTGAGAATCTGCCCACAGATTCCTCCTGAAGAGAAGCCCCTTACCTAGGATGGCATTCTTCTCCACCTCCAGCATGTCTAAGGCCTTTGCAAACGTTTCCCCCAGCCTAGCTACCATCTCTGGTGTGTAGAGATTGTTGTGAGTCCTGAAACAGAAGAGCACTTGGTTTATACTCATGTGGGTCAACCCCTTTTGCCCTTGACAGTGGGATCCTCTCCTTCAGTTTGTGAACAGCTCCTTTGAGGCAGATGATGAGGAAGGTGAGACCAAGCACGTGTGCATGGGATCCCCCTTCCCCACCTGCAAAAATATTGGGGAAGCTGACCCGACAGAGACATGGAGTGACTCCACCTCATGTCCTGAATCTCCTGGCTGCCCCTTCCACTTATTTCAGTTCACCCCACCCCTTGCAAGCACTGGCAGTAAAAACTCCCAGCAATTCTCCAGTCGATGCTGGCAACAGCTTATTAGCTTGGCCAAAGGGATCAGAGAATGTATTTTAAAAACTGACAAGACACAGATTCTGTAATCTCAAAAGACCTTCTGCACCTGAGGCCCCTGCAGAGGGAGGGGCTGTTTCAGCTCCAAAATACACACACTGCCCCCCAGGGATGGGTCACAGTCCCCAGAATGGCAGGTGGCATTGGAGGGACTCTAGGGAGAACATCAGTCTGATCAGATGTTACTTGTGGCAGACACATGTGCCCCCTGGACAACACATCCAGCTGGGAACAATTCCGCATCATCAGGAGGCGGCCACGGTCAGCTCTCCGCAAGGGACACCAATTCAGCCACGGGTGGCTGGTTCTCGCCATCCAGGCCAAAATGGGTCCCCTCTTAGCCAGGGTACTGACACTCAGAGCTGGACTCGGCAGGGGATGTCTCTCTCACCTACCTCTCTCCTTTGAGACCTCAGACCTCCACTCTGGGTGTCGCCAGCTGCACACAGCACAAATCCTGCAGCCTCCTCCAAAACTGCAATGCCATTGTACCTGCTGCTAGAGGTGATCAAGGGCAACTCAGTATCTCCCCCTAGAGCAGCGTTTCCCAAAGCAGGGGGGTACATGGGAATGGCTGGGGGAAGGGAGCACGGACAGACTTCAGTATGTTCTCCAGAGTCTCAGCTTTCACTCATGTCTTAATGATTTTTTAATTTTTTTTTTTTTTTTTTTTTAAGGTCTCTGTTCACAATCCTGGCAACCCCGATGCAGTGACGTCTGCCTCAGTTTGCAGAGAATCTGAGTTAGCTCCGCAACGGCAACTATCTCATTTCTCTCTGCAAGTGTTAAATACTTCCCTGCTCACTGCACGTGAGGAAGGCAAGTATGTAAGTTTTGTAAGAAAGAGCTACACAAATGACTTCTTAATTACTCATACTCTCATTCTGGGCTGGATCTAACACCGTGCAACAGGCCTCTAAGGGGGCACAAGCTGGTTTTACTTTCCCAAGAGGGGCTAGGGAGCAGCCCAGCCTCCACAAAAGCTTGGATAATGCTGTTCCACTGACTCAAAAAACTGTGCATTTCTGCTTGAGGCTATCCTGAAACCTAGCTACTAAAATCATCTCCTCTTGTACGTCTCCTGCCTGCTCCATGCCAATGCTGGCTTTGCCTCATGCTGGGCAGAAGGGCAGTGGGGTGAACCCAAGGACTGTGGAATTGCGGGGGTGAACCTTGAAATCCCACTGCTCTATCCCCAGCGGGATGGGTCAGACAGTCATACCCTGAAGCTGTGGTCATGGTCCTTAGTTGTTTCAGAGTCCTTGAAGCATTTTCTCAAATTTGGCAGTTAGGACGGCAGATATGCACTCACAGGCCGACCTCCCTTAATCAAAACTTTAGCAAGGTCCCAGTGGTAATGGAGAGAAAATGGCTAATCAGCTGCTCCCCATGGGGGTCAAAAAAAGCATTCAACAGCCCTCACACATGATGAGGATGTAGCCCCTAGGCATGTTCCAGCTGAGACACAGCAGTGAGCAGCACTCCTGGGCATCCCACACACAGGAGAACATGGAAAAACAAAATTGAAGAGACATTTATGCTTTAGAAGACAAGCAAAGGATATGGCAGGACTTGTGGGAGTGTATTTTCAGCGGTGGTCACAGCTCTGCTGGAAAGACTGATGCCTAAAGAGATGGGCTTGAAGGCCAGAAGATGAGTCCTTTAGGACAGCCCATGCTTGAAGAATCCTGATCTAAAGCTGGAGCTGTCTACGCTGAAAATGCTTACAGCATCCATGTCTATCCAACAATTCTTTCATCAGCATTAATGCCTTGGTAATGTCAGCATCTCATCAAGAGGAGTTCCAAAAAAGCCTTTGTCCATGCAAAGCATTTGCTGAGCCTGACCAGTCCATTTGTAACAAAACATGAGCAAATCCCAGCACAATAAAGGTGCTGCGCCAATCAGTTCATGCAGCTACTGACTCCAGAAACGTGCCTTTATCTAAAAGTGGCTGGAAATCGTGATTTGGTTTTAAATTCAGGAGAGAACAATTTAAGCCAGAAGCTAAGAAAGCACCTAGATGAAATGAGGTACCACAGAGGACAGGAGAATCATCACTCAAAAAGCTGCAAGCAGTGATTAACAAAGCAACCTCAAAATCCTTCAGTAAATACAGCTACCAAGGCAGAGACAAATATGGGTAGGCACAAAAAGATAGGCTGGCAGGGAAACACCACACTGTCTATGCCACTCAAAACTACCTTATTTTTTCCTTGTTACCTGGACTCCCTCTCATTCCTCTCGGCTCTTTGGTCTCATCCATGACCTACCTTCAAGCTACGTACCCTGGCAAAGACCCAATGGCTTAGCAACTTTTACTGCTCCTGTCTGCAAACACAGCAGCAGAATGCCACACAACATCCAGAGGGCAGCAGACCCAACTGCTCAGCCTGCAAAATGCCCTTTATTTGCATACTGGCGCCTGACTTGGTGTTCAATTCAGCTGCTTAGTAAGATCTGTGCTGCTGCTATTTGCAGATCTGCTCACGCAGTAACCAACACAATCTGTGAGGACTTCCACATCTACTTTCTGCATAAGCATATGAGCAACAGTTGACCTTGCTTATCCCCACAGAAAGCTGCCTAATAGCACAGAGCTAAGAGAAGCATCCATCCCCAAGCAGTAATGCAACTATGTTTCTGAAGACATCCGCAACACAGGCAGCTTTCCTGACAGCCAGCCTTCCTCATATCCCTGTATTTCCTGCCTGCTGACAGGCTGCTACAGATTCCATATTCTCTTGGGTAATCCATATTAAAGAGGGCCTGAGGAAGCAGTACATGGAAAAAGCACTCAAAGCCAGCATAAAACACACCAGAAGCTCCATAGCACAAGCTCCATCTTCTCCAGAAAGACGTAAGCATCATCAACGTTTGCACTGAACAACTATGAGCTTGCAGTTGTCACACAAAGAGGCCTCTACATCCAGCAGCAGCCAGGAAAGGTATGAAGCAGACTATCTACTGCTCTTAATACATCATTCACTGGTTCTTGTTGGAGCATCCAGCCTTAAGAAAAGGCTGGATACCTCTGAGTGAAGCACAGGCCACTCCATGTATGTTACTATCACGTGCTCAGAAAAGATTTTGGTCTGCAAGGGAGACGCTCAAACAACACAGATACATTATCTCAAAAAACAGCCAGGGAGCCTCTTCCTTCGTGTAGATGGGGAAGCACTGGCAACAGAACATAGCTCTCGTGTTTTCCTGGAGGTGGTAAACAAACAGGCACAGAATTTCTGCTTCTTTACAGGTAGTTTATCATAGAGTTTGACAATAGTTTCCTAAGCTTGTTGTAACAGAGATCCCAAGTGTTTTTAATAACGTGTAATTTCTGGCAAGAACAGCAATTGCACAAGCAAAAAGTCTGTCCATTGCAGCCTGTTCAGACCCTGGGCACTGGTTTAGTTGGTCTCCCACAATACAGAGCATGTTCCAGGCTCTGGAAGAAATGGCACGAGGCTACCTCTACTCAGGCAACTCTACTCTACCCAACCTCTCCCAAAAGCTCATTGATAGGATCTTCAGCCTTCCAGGAAAAAAGGCAAAACCACTTCAAGCACAGCTCCACAGCCATAACAAGACAGTTCAACTCTGCTCACTGGCCAACGTACCACCTGCTGTGCTACACAGAGCTTTACGATGAGAAGCACTGCTACGGTGGGCCAAGACAGCATGTGCTTGTCCTTCCAGTCCAGCATGTTGCTTCTCACTAGAAGCAGCACAGTCCTGAGCTCAGTGACTACCAAACATGCCTGGTTAGACAGAGCTCGAGTAATAGGGCCCCTTTCCTCACAGACCTGGGAGCTGAAAAATCTAAGTGGATCTGACAATACCCTTTCCCAACAGGCTCCTGCCAAGGACAGAGCTTCAAGTTTTCAAGTACATAACATGTAGCGTTATCTCACAGAATTGCCCCATCAGCCTGGCAAAATCCCAGCGTCAGCAGCTACCCTGAGACAGATTCCTCCTTTATAATTCTGGGAACTGTGTTATTCAGGATTCCCCTTTTCTGTCTTCTCTTGCTCCCTCCTCTGGCTGCCCCAGATGTATAAAACACCAGTGACGTGCAGAGAGGCACTGCAAGGTAGCAACAGCCTGAGAGTATGCATCCACTGATTTCAATAGCAGACAGTGCTTCAGGAGGCTGGTGTTCGTGTTCAGCAAAACCAGCTTAATTTAACACTGAAGAGAGAACAACGCAAACAGGATGTGATGAGAGCTGTGACTGCCCTGGTGGTGACTGGAGAGGTGGCCTTGTAGGGGCTGAGGGCAGAGCAGAGATGTTAGTCGAGAAACGATTAACCGGGTGGCAGATATACAGCAGTGGAGGTGGGGGAGGCAACCCCAGCCCAAGCTCCCATTGGCTTTGATGGACTCTTGTAGGCCAGGCCAATGAACATTCAGAAGGCTCCAGTTTCCCCAGTGCCATTCCCCACTGTGAACAGTCAGGAACAGTACTTGGGCACCTGCACCAGCCTATGTTCCTGCTGGCTTCACTGGGAGAACATGCTCTGAGCATTTCATGTATTTATCACAGTTTGGCTTTCAGAGATTCCTAAGTCAACATAAATGATTCCAAGTCAACTTGACCCACCTTATAAGAGCAAGTAAATTGTCAAGAAGCTTCAGGACCTGCTCAGTGCAGGGATTACGGTAGACGGGACTTCCACTGGGCATGTATCCCACCAAGAATCCTCCAGCTTTTGCCTCTTCAGTAGCAGCAGGCCAACGAGCTCGTTTCACAACTCCCAAAATGGTGTATACGCAAAAGCTTATCTGCAGCAAGAGATGCGGAGAGAATGTTTCTTAGCCAGAGCACAACGTGAATAAATAGGTTTTCAGAGAAACCCATCACCATCCCATCTCAAAGGGAACGCTCTACAGTGAGCCTAATCTGGTGATAGGAACAAACTCTGGTGGGTTTGCTGCCAAGAAAATGCAGCAAACTATCATGCTACATTCCATCATCTTCAGTGACCCTTCGCCATGGCAGGACAGCCTAGGAACTTGCTATTAGACAAAGCAGCAATGCATACGGTCTCATGAGCATGCAAGCAACCAGGTAGGTTACCCTCTAAAAGGAAGGGTCTATACCATCAGTTCCTCATCTCCTTCATGTGCTGGGACGGATGTAGAGATCTGTGATGACATAGTGGTCAAACTGCATTAGCCCCAAATCACAAGCACAGCTCTGTGGACTGCATTTCAGTGTCCTCTACAGACCTAAAGATAGCAACTCCATTTGCAGTCTGTCCAAGAATGAAGACATTTCACTAACAACTCAAACAACACAAATCTGCTCAGATGAATTTTAATTATATTCCACGATGAAGTCTCAGCATGACGCTTTCCATACTGCCTCACTCAAAAAGCACAAGTCACTGCACCATATTTCCAAAAATCACGTAAACCAGTTGCTTCTCCAAAACCAAACTCTGCTGCACAAAGAGTAGGGAACAGTGTGCTTCACTCTGCTGAATAATCTGGTTTTGCATGGCCTACACGCTTATTACTGTAGCTTAAAGAGGCAAAAGCCAGCCTGTTATTCTGCAATCTGAAAAACCTACTGATCTGCACCCTAAAGAAGTAGATGATCAGGAGAGATCTTGTGTGTAACCACAACAGAAATGGGGGATGGAAGGAGGCAAGTCCCATCTTGCTAAGGATTACACCTCTCCTGGTAATGATACTCACTCTGGAGCGGTTCCGGCCACTAGGATCTTCCAAGACTGGATCGGCAATTTTGTTGTCTGCACCCACATAGGAGATAAAGGCTTCAGGATCTGAGAGGACTCTGGCGGCAGCAAAAGACAGCAACAGGGATTATTGTTTGTATCAGGGAATTTGAGCAGAGCTTTGCACTGGCAATAAACATCTTAACAAATACAGAACAGGTTAGAGAGACTAGCAAGTGCTCCACACTGTATGTGGGAACATGATAAAAAGCACCAGAGACGTGTGCACTCTCCAAATGTCTCCAGTTCTCTTGGGCCATGGGGACCTAAAACCTTTGAATCTCTTATGAAGACAGCCCTGCTGGGAAAACTCTTGTGCATGCCCAGCTGCCTAGGGCTGCAGGACACCTCAGCTTTAGTAAGCAGAGCTCAGCTTCCTAGCTTCTTCTGGAGATGAGCAAAGACATCTTTTATTTCTCATTTTCTGCAAATGCTTTGAGCATGCTGGGAAGTGTTCCTCTATCACCTTAAACAACTCTTACCTAACAATTTTCAACAAACAGCATTTAGACTCAGTTGGCAGTTTCTGAACTGCAGGAGAGCTATTACCACAATGAGTGCCCACAGCACAGGAGGTCACAAGGCACCCTGCCAGCCTCATTTGGTTTGCGG